GTCGGCAGTTTGAATCCCCGCGACGGGGTGAGCTCCCGTTGCTCGGTCCCTGCCCCTGCCAACCTAGCAGTTCGAAAGCACGTCAAAGTGCAAGTAGATAAATAGGTACCGCTCCGGCGGGAAGGTAATCGGCGTTTCTGTGCGCTGCTCTGGTTCGCCAGAAGCGGCTTAGTCATGCCGGCCACACGACCCGGAAGCTGTACACCGGCTCCCTCGGTCAATAAAGCGAGATGAGCGCCGCAACCCCAGAGTAAGTCACGACTGGACCTAATGGTCAGGGGTCCCTTTACCTTTACCTTTACCCCAGATTACCTTTGTTATCATAGCTCCATATTAAAACTAAAACAAAACAACAAACAAATGAAAACCCATCCCAAACAAACCCCATGTTTTGGAAAACGCCGGTATCTTTTCCAAGACTGACCAGTAGGTGGCGCTCCCCACCAGGAAATCAAACTGAAACCAATTATATGTTCAATATCACTAGAAATCATTGCTGTTGATAGAGATAAATGGGTAATGCACTACCTGTGTAACAATAGTTTTTTTTTTAAGGAAAAAGAAAAAAAGAAAAATTGAACTTTTCATCAGCTGCTAATCATGATTTTTTAATGCTTTGCTTTGCATTTTCTGGGGAATAAAACCTCCAGGGAGCCCACTCTTTTGTGGGAAATGAAAGGGCATTACAAAAAATGAATGTACATGGATTCTAAATATTTCAGGTTGTATGACTTTGTGTTTGACCTTAGCAGAAGATGAACTAATCCTGCAATATAATAGACTTTCATAGAGATATGGAAAATGGCTGCTTTTTTATCTCAGTTGCCATGGGAACCATCAGGGAGAAGGCCTAGCTGAGATGCAATAGAAGGTTATTAAATGTGCGCTTGTGTATATTGGAAAAATACAGCTTTTTGTCATCCTGTGTCACTCATAGGTCTTTAATACGTAATGTTTAGGTTATTAATAAACGAACACAGGTCCATTTTTAGAGGGAACAACTGTGAATGTAGCTGTAAAAAAAAAGTACAAGTTGAACATTTGCAAAAAAGAAAAAAGAAAACCTCTTTAATAGAGGCAGAAGTGTGCAGTTGGCTTCCCCCCCAACCTCCTTTTTTTTTTTTAGCTGTTGCAATTTTACTCCAATTCCCCCTGAAGTTTTTATGCTTCTCTGTAACTAAAGTAAAGAAAGATGCCACAGCAAGCCAGCCCCACTATTTAAAATAAAACTAAAACCTTTCTTTATTTCTTTTGGGGTGGGGAGGAGGGTTAAGATCTACAATGGACTGATTTTACACCTCTCCTTCCCTATCTTTGAACTTGCCAGTGGTATTATTTGCATAACACTTTTATCCGGCCTTGATGCATTTGTGTGTGCTTGAGCTTTGTTGGGAAATGGAGGAAGAAAACATCTATGGGAATATTTTTCAGCGCCAATGTTCGGTATTACGGCTTAGCTTTTTTTTCTCTCCCTTCCTCTTTTTCTTTTCTTTTTTCTTCTTGTAAGCACCAGATCAAGCTGATCCAAATAGTGATACATTCTTGGGGGGTGTGGGGTTTGGCATAAAGCGTCTCTCTCCAGAAGACGCAAGGGGTGCCATAATCTTCACCTTTCCTCTAAAATCGTGTCTGTGTAGAAGGGACAAGCAAAATCCGGGTCCATCCATCCCTGATTTGTGAAGAGCAGTGATGAACCTCCAACTTTAAACATGGGTTACTGAAACTTCTAGGTTCTAGGTTGAACTCCATTCAACCTTAAAGGTTTCTTTGCTCAGGAGCAACAACGTGCAAGTAAAGATGCTAGGCCTCCAATCTATACACATTTCGACATAGCTAGTATACAAGGAATATAATATTGCTTGTTGGGCTGAACCGGGAGCCTGAGTGAAAAGAGCCAGGAAGCATCGAAAGCCCAGCATGCTGCAACAACAGATCTCGTGCAATGAATAGCTTGCCTTCCATCATTGGGAGAGAAAGAGCAGCGAAGGAAGCTGGGCAAGAGGACTCAGATGCACACTATGTGCTTCGCTCCCCTCTGTTAAAAGACCAAAACATTGAAAGCAAATAAAAAAACAACGGGGATAATGAAAAGTGAGGAAAGCCAAGCAGGGTTCCTTCCTGTCCCCCAGGTCTGACTCTTGGTCCGGCGCCAGGGTTAATCCTGATGCAAAGCTAGCTCCGCAGGTCCCAGCAAAGAGAGGGAGCCTTGAGAGATCAAGGGGGAACGACTTTCGACCCCCAGCTCCCCAAGTGGCCTCTGCGAAAGAGTGAGCTGGAAAGGGATCGAGTGACCCCTTCCTGGGAGATCTCCCCAACCTGCAGACCTCTTCCCCTCCCGCTACCAAACCTGCTATTCGCCATGCGCCTGTATGAAACCAGAAAGGGGCTTGCCACGGGCTTGGTATCCGCACCCGCCTCCTGCGAATTTGGATCCTCACGGGCTTGCTAGCTTTTCCTTCCCGGGGGCTCATCAGATCCCATCACCTAAGCAGCCCGGGGTGGGGGTGGTGAACTCTTCTGCTTCCAGAATGACGGGGACGGCGGCTATGGATAAATTTGGGGGTTCTCTGCCAACTCGGGCAAGAATAGGTGAAGAGAAGAAGAGGCTTAAGGTGGGGGTAGAAGGTGACCCACAGCAGAGTCGAGGATTAGTAAGGCTTTCTCCTTGGGTGCTAATGCAGCGTGCATGGCTTTGGCGCCAAAATGTGTGGGTGCCCAGACCCTTCATGGGGAATTTTGTGGGTGCTCGAGCACCCAGGGAGCCGGTACCTATGCACTGCTGAAAGGCCAAAAAGAAAAGGCTCTGTGCGCTTTGTGGAGCTTCCTGGCGTCCCGTCCCCAAATCTCTGGCCGGGCAGACCCCCCCACCGGGCACCGTCTGGCTGCTGACCAGGAGCCGAGCAGTCCCTTGCAAAGAGTGCAGGATCTATTTATTCCCCCCCCGGTCTTTTTTTCCTTCCCCCTTTCCCTGCATGACCCGGCAAGCAGCAAACGCCTCCTCTCCCCAGGCGATCCATCACTGCTCGGATTTCTATGAACACCCAGGAGCGGTCCAGATCAATATTTCCTGGCGAGGTTTCCTAAGAAGATCGACCTTACGGGTCTTGGCAGTTCGGTGTGTGGTTTTGTTTTTGTTTTTTAAAAAAATCTGCTTTACAAAAAATAAAGATAAAAAATCCCTCATCTTCCTCCTTTCGTTCTCTGAAAAAAATGCCTGTCGGCCTCGCCTCATCGAGCCCAGGAACCCATAGCAGTTAAGAGGAGATATATGTATATAATATAAATAAATATACGTGGCTATCCCCTCCGGAGCGCAACGAGGAGGAGACTCCGATGGAGAAGGCGGCTGAAACTGTCAGCCTCACAAGGCGCGTCTCCACGGCAGGATCCTCGCAATGCCACTCCGCACGTGTGCACGCGCTGTCCCGCGGAATACGCGCACACGCGCGCTTCTTTGAAAAAGAGGCACCGTTCGTGAATGCGATTAGAGGGGGGGGGAATCAGGCATCCACCCTGAGATTTTTTTTTATTTTTGGCTGTTGCTTATTCCCGCTGCACCCCCACCTCCTTATTTCTCTCTCTCTTTTTCTCAACCCCCCCCCCACTTTTTTTTTTTTTTTTTGCCTATCTGCCGATCAAACGCGCGGGGATCTGCTCTGGTAAATGATGCATTAGATGCGGTGGCTGTATTTGTTGTGCGAGTTTTGAAAGGGTCCCGATAATCTGGAAGCGAGAGATAAGGAACAGCATTTATTCAGCAGCACTTTGGAACCAATTTTCAACCCTGTTCAACCCCATTCTCCTGCAGCCTCCAGGAGCCCAGGAGATAAGGATTGGACTATTCATTATCTTCACAAGGAACAAAGATTAGCTAGCAGAGATGAAAAATTACTCCTGGATAGTAATAATAAGGGAGAGAACCTCGGGAGCTGCTGAGCCCAGAGTCTCCAGGCTTTGGGAATACACACACACACACTTACACAAATACATTTTTAAAAATCAGTTTCGAAAATATTGGCCTGCCCATAATAATAATAAAAAACCTGGCAGCATTATCATCATCATTATCGTCATTAAGCAACTTAATGTTTATCATGTTTTCATATGTAGAATAAGATTGTTAACGCGCGAGGAGAGGGGGAAAGAGGTGGGGTTTTTCTTTTCTATTCCCCTTACCAATACCCCACGTCTTCTTCTCTCTCTTTTTCTTTTCATAGTTTAAAGACTACATCTTCAGTAGGAAATCTAACCAGGGCAGCTCAGAGAGAGCGAAACACCATCATCTCATAATCATGGGAGAATCGTGGCGGGTGGGGATGGAAATGCAGGCGGAGGGAAGACAGGGGCGGCGTGGAAAGTTGGGCGATTGTTGAATTTTGAGGAGTAAGGTTTTGTGTGTGTGTGTGTGTGTGTGTGTGTGTGTTTACTGACCCCTATAAACTTCCATACCGCTCAGAAAGTACAGACTATTACGATGGGGCAGAATATCAATAACAGCAGGGTATTAGTACTGGTATTGTTACACCACGACACATTAACCCACCCCCCATAAGCCACTGTATCTCCCCGCAAGGTCTCCAGGCTCCAGCCCCGCTATGAATTGGCAACACACACGTCCGACTTAACCCTTTCCCCGCCCAAGCTTTGCAAGTGATTCCGTTTCACACCAGTTTGTTCAGTGGAGAGCATTTGCTGTTCTTTCCATCCCTCAGATTCCCAGTACTGTACCTGGAACCGCAAAAAAACATGGCGGGGGGGGAAGGGAGGGAGGGAGATTTAAAACATACTTGAATAAATCTAGTTATGTATCTCATCTCCTAGAATGAAGAGTGATACAGGAGGGTAATTAAACCAGTTACTTTGGCAATGGGCTGCTTCGGACTGATAAGAATTATCTGCAGCATATCAAGGGGCCCTTTCCCCTCCTGAACCATATCACAAAGACAGACAGAAAATGCCAGCAAAATAGGATTCCACCCCCTTCTCCTTGCTATTGCTCTGGGGTGTGTGTGTGTGTGTGTGTGTGTGTATACCACATACCATTATGATGATAATTCTTTTCCATTGAAACTCTTACACACACACACACACACACACACACACACACACTCTCCTTTTACCATACATGTGAAGTTTTCCTGTTCCTTACTATGAGTATAAAAATATTAAGCGGCGGTGGTGGCGGTTTTTAACTTGTGGGGGACCTCAGATTCGAGAACGTAGACGCAAACCCGAGACATCCAAGGCGTCGTCCCTTAAGCCCCATTGAAAGAAAGGGGAGTTAAGACTGCAGGCTATACAGCCGGTCGTCAATCGCACCGTGGTCACCGAAGAAACAGGGCCAGGAAAGGACTGGGCTGTTCGGCATTTGACTTTCTCTTATGGCTGCTTCAAGTTGTTGTTCACACACACTCACTCACACACTCCTTTTGCTTTGTCCATCCCTCATACGCTTGTTTTCCACCTGATCCTCTGCCACGCAAAGAACAGAAGTGCCCTTTTTTGCGAAAGGGACAAAACAAATTATTTGATTGGCTGCGATCTGGCAAGGTGATGGAGGAGTGCGTGTGTGTGTGTGTGTGTGTGTGTGTGTGTGTTAGCTAGTAAATGTGGAACAACAAACAAACAAGCCAACAAACCAGAAGAAGATCCCTAGCTAGCCCAAGATATTTGTAGGCCAAACAAGGAAATAAAAAGCTCACGATTTCGCCAGCCCTTAAAAGCGGTGGCGTCTTTGACTTCCAACCATTTCCCAACCTATTAGTTCCGGCTGACTAGCCTAATGGGCCAAGAATTTATGAATTTCAAGATCTTTTCTTCCTTTCCTTTCCTCTTCCTGCAACAATGGCTGAAGGGCGGCTCTCGCTGCCTTTACTAAGCGTCCCTGCGCGCTCTCACACACCTAGACACAAACACTTTCCCAGCTAGATCTATGAAGTCCAGTTCAGAAGAAGTTAGGACCAAAAGCTTGGGCGATGGGCGATGGGGGATGGGGGGGCAGAGAGAGAAGACAACGTGATAAAACAGGTGAGAGAGTTCAATCGAAGACTTTTCTCCCCAGCCCACGTAAGACCAAGGAGCTGAGAACTGCGGGGAGGGAGGTTGGCAACCCCGCTCCTCCCCGCACCTACCCCCGGTTTAAATCAATAGGAATAATTTTTAAAAGAGGTCCGGAATGGGGGTGATGGGCTGGGGATGTTGGTGGCTTTTTTGCGGGGGCCTACAGACTTTTGAGCTCCGACCCCCCCTCCCGCACCTCTTCCTTGGGACGGGGAGACTTTCTTTTGTGCGACTCCCTGCGCCCCGGAGTGGGTTGGGGGGGGGGCGTGCAGAGAGGTGGCGACGGCGGCGGGTGCGCGTCTCTGGAATAATATCAGTTCATTGGGAAATATGAAAGTCAAGTCGCGTCGCCTGTGACAGGGAAGGCAACAAAAGGTGCAAGCCGCAGACAATGCGAGGCGCTTGTACAGATATTGTAATGATGCAAATGAAGGCGAGGGGCCGAGCTGGCTGATTATGTACATAAATGCGCGCAGAGGACGCGCGCACGGGCTCGCCGTGCCATCTCTGAGCGCGGGAGGAGGAGCGGAGGGGGAAGCCGGAGGAGGAGAGAAATGCGCTGCCAGGTTTTGAGCTGACTTCTCTCCCCCCCCCCCCTCTTCCCCACACCCACCCCAATTCCTGGCAACCGATCTCGCTCGCCTTGCCTCCTGCCCATTCATCAGCCGCTCCTTGCCCCCTGGCGCTCCTTCTTTATTCAGATCCGCCGAGGGGAGCGCCGGGGCAGAGGCGAAAGGGTGGTCGTCGCCGTCGCTCTTTGCGCGCGCTCTCCCCGCCTGTCTCTCTCAGCGAATCCAGATGTGCCAGCTGCGGAGCCCAAGTCCTCCTCGGGAAGGGAGCCTCGGTTAAAGCTGCTCTCCTCCACCCACCCCAACGGCAGAGAAAGTGTGGGGGGTGAAAGGCAAGAGAGAGACAGACAGACAGACAGACAGAGACTGGGTGGTGGTGGTGGGGAACCCACACAATCCCAAGGAGGAGAAAGGAAAGGGGCTCAGGAGCTACAGGAGCGCGCGGAGAGGAAGCACCTCGGAAGAGAGCAAAGGTAAGCGCCTGATTCCAAGGCCAGCAAGGAAAAAGAGGAAATGAGAGAGAGAGAGATGAAACACTGGATGGCGCGCAGGGAGGAGGGCTGTATCTCAGTAGCGAAGCACCTGCTTGGCATGCAGAAGGGGCCAGGCTGAACCCTGGAGCTAGGAGGGCCTCCCTGCCTGCCTGAAATCCTGGGGAGACGCTGCCGACCAGTGCAGACAGCACTGACTTGGTATAAGCGACGCCGGAGGGGTTCCGGGCCGACCCACTCCAAGTTGGGCAGCGCAGGGAGAGGGGCTTGGGGTCAGCTGGCGGCAGAGATGCCCCCCATCGAGGCCACCTGGAGAGGCACCTGGTGTGGGGTGGTGGGGAAGGGGGGCGCGCTCCTTTGTTTCTGCAATGCACACTTGGAAGGAAAGCAGAGGACCCTGTTGGGCGCGGGGGGTGGGGGGCGCGGAGATGGACACCGGCTTCCCCCAACTCCACCCTGGGGACTTGTCTTTTTCAAGAGGGGCTAATGCCCGGTGACAACGAACTAAGCAGCTCCGGGGGCCCGAGAGAAAGAGTTGTCGCCGAGTAAGCGGAATAAAGCCAGCCTTTTTTCTTTGCGCTTTTTGCTAACCCTTTCGGAAAACAAATAAACAAGTCCCGGGGCTGTGATTTTAAAAGGGGTTTTTAATCAGACGTGGTTTGGGATGCCGGGGGTGGGGGGGAGGGCAGATCAGCCAGGTTGGGTTATGCTCCCAAAGCACGGGCTACATGCAGGAACCTCTCTCTATGTATTTATAAAGGACACATTTCCTTACCTGTATAAATATGAGCATGTTGGTGTAATAAGTATATGGAATCTATATTAAATAAGGGACAAAGGTGCTGCATTAAAAGAAAAGAAAAATAAGTGGCTAAGAGCTCTCTAGAAAACAGACTTGCTGTTGGTACCTGCGAGAAGTAAATAATTTTCTTCTGCTAAAAATAGCGATTTTTAGACACGAGGACGATTCAGAGAAGGTGGAATTATGGGCTGGGACTCCCGGCCATCGTGTAGTTTGTGCTGTTAAGTGTGCCTGATGAAAGACACCCAGATGAAAGTGCTTTTGGCTTTATGGAGCGGCTTGAAATGAGTTTCTAATTAACAGCGTCTTAAAATCATAGGGGAAATAAAATGTCGCTTCTGTCCAGAAACCGAAGCGCATTTTACAGGCTGAAAACCCTTCTAACGGGAAGGGGAGAAAAAAAGATCCTCTTTCTTTATAGTTACACAAGAGAATTTTACTAGGGAGTTCTGGAAACCAAAACACGCTCTTCTCAGTCCACCGAGCCACCCCTCCGATGGGAGAGGCGCGCACGGATTTGTTTTATTCTATTTTATTTGTCACGGGCCAAAGAACAGAAAACAGCCAGAAGGCATCGCAGGGCGACGAGTCCTTTCAGAAATCAAACTTATGAGGCCGTGTATGTTTGCGCATTATAAAAAAAGACACACACACAAACTCGACCTTCCCACTTGGGGAGGAAGGAGGAGAGAGAAAAAATCAGCAAAGAGAGAAGTGGAGGGGGAAAAGAAAGTTTTTTTAAAAATAAAATACCCCCTGCCCTGTTTCATCTCTTCCCTCCCTCCTCCACAATCACACACGCGCGGGCACACTTCCCCCAACCTATTGTTCTGAGATTTGTGTGCGTGTTTTAAGAGGACGGGGTTCTTTTGAAGGAGGGTTGAGGGTTTTTTCTTCTTCCCTGGAAACCCCCGCAGTTCCGAGGATTTCCCCCCACCCTCTCCTGTTTCTGGTCTTTCTGCACCTGCTTGCCCAGGGAGCTTTCTCAGTCCCGGTCCCGTGCAGAAGATTTGCACAGCTTTGCATGTTTCAGAACTATCCAACTCTAGGCGACCAGCCTCTTCCCGATTCCCCCCCCCATCCCACCCCTCCCCCCTTTTTTGTTTCTTTTTATTTTTTTCCTGCTGGGGTCAGCTTTAAAAATAATTATTTCTTCTCTCACCGACCCTTCCTCCTCTTCTTTCTTCTGCACGCTACCCTCACCTTCCTCCGTTGTCGGGACTCAAAGTCGCGGCGAATCCCCCGCCAGCGCAATACAGGAGCTGGGTCCCTTGGAGAGGATTTCAGCAGGGAGAGGCTGTGGTGGGAGTAGGTTTGGTCCGCAAGACTAGAAGAAGCTAAGCGGAGAGTAACCTATATATCAATCGTAAGGCTGAGGGTGTGTTTGTGTGTCTCTGCGTCTGTAAATAGCCATTTCCTATGAGACGGATGTGAGACTCCAGGCATCACACGTGCGTACGTGGGGCTAGCCAAATAGTTAGCATATACATCTTTTACATAAATAAATATTAAAATAACAACTTTCCTCTCAAGTGTAGTTAAAAAGAAAACCCACTTACAAGCTGACTACACAGACAAAATGTCTATTTAAAATAAATTAACTATAACGCACTAAACGCAGATAAAAAACCGACTCAAATTGTATGCATTCAAATAGCGATGATGATGATGATGAGAATAATAATAATAATAATAATAATGAAAGCATCAGTGAGCAGAATGTATTATTACTATTATTTTCCTTCCTGTATTAGCTGACATTTCTAAGTCTTACCAATTTGGCTGCATCCCACAAATTACTCATAAAGGGCAACTCTGCGTCGACTCTCCTTTAGCAGCAACTAACATTTGTATGCAGACTGGAGCAGGATCCCTTCCTCATTGACGGATGCAAGTCCTAAATGCACTTACTAGGGAGTAAGTCCCGTTGAAAGAGTGCGGCTTACCTCCCAGTATCAGGCACGCACGGGGGCTGTGGTGGCTCATTTATTTCTTGAATCTTTTATATAACCCCAAAAAAGGTTGTCTCTGGGCCCATCAACGGTATCTTAAAGCAAGTCATTTTAAAAGAAGAAAAGAAAACGACCCGCCCATTTCTCGCTCCCCAAAGGATCCATGAATTCACTTTGATGAAGAGTCCTCTGGACAAATGATGCATCTCCGTGCTGCAAAAGGCAGGATCCCATTTTGCAAAACACTCGTGGCCTGTTTTTTGAAACGGACCAAATTTCCGTCTCCCGCTTGGCTCTCTTTTACAGCCTCCACCCCGAAGCGTTTTTTCTCTTCGAGAAACGAGTCCGGGGCTTTGCGTGGGAAAGGAAGGCGGGCGGGCACCGCCGAACCGATGTCAACACGCATTAAAAAAATATTAATTCAGGACATCGATCCCTCCCAGGTTGCAAGAGCCCTTTCAAGGGGGCATTGCACGACCCTTTATGAACCCCCAGGTATGTGGGTCTGAGTTCAAGGCAACCTCGCCTTTTCTTTTTTTTGTTTTGTTTTGCAAAGTGATATTTGTAAAACTATTTTTCGATTCTAACTGGTGTGGAATGAAGCGGGGAGCTGGCGAAGCGGCAGAGGGGCGGACAGAGGAGAGGGGTTGCGGGGAGAGGGGCGGGTGGCTGGTGCTTAGTGGCTGACAAATTGCAGGTTAATAAAATGTATTTGCAGGCTGAGTGTCAGGTGCATCTGGTGGTCAGGATTTGAAAGGGGAAAAGAGAGAAGAAAAGGAAGGTGAAACGAAAAGCAGGCTCAAAAAGGGGAGAATATCCAGTACAAATTAACAGATTGAAGGAAATGGTGGGAGGCAACGAGGACTTGGAAATACAGGAGGCTTTCCCAACATATACATACATACATACATACACGTATGTATATGTATATATGTATATGTTGTTGTCGTTTTTAACGAAGCTTAACCGGACCTCGTAGTTAAGTGGTTGATAGTTTAATTGTACAACCCCGTTAGCACCCATTCAAAAGCACTGGTATCATTGGCCGTATTTGAAGAGAAACAAAAGGGAGGACAGAAGAAAATGAATAATCGTGTTTTGTTTTGTTTTTAAAAACCCCCCACTAGAGCCCGTGAAAGGGGGTGAGGAAGCAGGAAGCCTGCCTACAGGAAGCGGGTTGCCCTGGGAAATGGGGCTAGTGAGGAATTTTGGGTGGCTCCATAGGCAGACGTGAGAGCTCTCTGGCCCCAGCTGGGCGCTGCTGGCTTTTCCCTTCGCTCGCCCTGTAAGACACATTCACTCCTTGCCATTCTCAACAGCCCCAACCCGGAGCTAGATGTGCGCGCCTGATCCCCACCTATATGGCTCATGAGAGGCTGAGGTGTGTGATGGGGGGGGCAGCATCTGGGCTGGGAAAGAGGCCCCGAGTTTGCTTCTGAACTTCCCCCTCCGTTTTCAGTCAGTCTCTCCGGCCAAGTCCGAATATGAGCCCGTGATGGCTCAACGAAACAAAGAGCCAGCAATCAGAGAGAGAGAGAGAGAGAGAGAGAGAGAGAGAGAGATGGTGCTGGACATTCCCGGATCCAGCCCTGGAGGAGAGGACGGGCAATGCCTCCCCCCCCCCCGCCTCCTACTGCAAACCAAGGCGCTCTCTCACTGGGCGCAGCGAGGCTTACTCCCGAGTAAACACGCGCGAGGGAGGGGGGCCCTTCCTGGCTGCTGCCATCCCGCCCAAGCTGCTCCGCTCGGAGGGATTTACTTCCGAGAAGACGTACAAAAGGATTGGGCTGAACAAAACTGAACAGGGAGGGGGGAGGAGAAAAAGTCTGGAATGCATTGATGGGGAAACAAAACGAAACAAAAATCCTACGGGGTGTGCAGCGCGTGTCCCCCCCCCCCTCCCCGCTCTAAGGCAGCCCGCCCTTCCGCGCTAGTCCTTTGCAGCAGCAGCAGAGGAGACCTTTGGAGAGGCGAGAGGCTCTTTGGCTCTCTGGCTACCTGCAGCTGCAGCGCGCGACTAACTCTGGGGTGCCTGCCTGCCTGGACGGCTAACCCGGAAGACGAGAGAGCGGTGTGTGTGTGTGTGTGTGTGTGTGAGAGAGAGAGAGAGAGAGAGAGAGAGGAGTCTGACGCCACTTGTACGTGCTTCTATTTCTGTACCTGCCTTAGCCGGCTTGTTGGAGCGCTGAGCGGGGCTGGGGCTGCTGCAGCCTCCGCCTGGCCGTCGGCTCAGCCTGCGGCTCCCCCTCCCCTCCCCAGACCAGCGTTGCTCCTGGCTGCCCCTCCTCCCTCCCTCCCGCGGCTCCTCCGCCCCCTCCCGGCCGCCACCAATATCTTTCCCTTCAACCCCCTGCTGCCACTGAGGAGCTGTCTGGGATGCGGCGTCCGGGGAGCCCACCCTTGTTCGGCACTGCTGGGTGAGTAGCTCTAGATTTCCTTTTTGCTTCGGCGGCCCGAGGAAGCCCGTTCCTTTCTCCAGCGCTGCCTGCTGCCCTGGATGTGGAGCCGCCTTTTCATTAGGGGTTATATATATTGGCTGCTCCCTCCCTCTCTCTTTCTCTCGGTACCACTTTGCTCTGGTGACTTGGTTACATACAGGCAGGGAGGAAGGGAGAAATGGTGACTGTTGCGGCTGGAAAGGGCCAGTTTGGCGTGTGCGTAAAAGGCAGCGAGAGCTGAGCGCTGCCGCCTGCGGAGTTTGCCGTCGAGATCCGTACGGATCTCCACACAAAAGGTCTGAAGAGACGGCGGTTCAAAGGGTGACCCGCCCCGTCGTGTAGAAGATCCTAAGGCAGCAGAAGCGAGGCAGGTCTCAGCTCGGGCTTCCCGCTACGAGGGAGAAACGTGGCGGCAGCACCCTTGGGTGCTGTGAGCCGCCTTCTGCGGAAAGGGCGCGCGGGAGCGTTAGGAGAGGTCGCTTGTTTTTATTTGCAGCGAGATGCAAATAACTGGAATGAAATCAGACTCGAAAGTGTCGGAGCTGGAGAGATGACCCGGTCAGCTTGTGTGGCAAAAGTTGGGGAGTGTTTGGGTTCAGGAGGAGCCACGGAGTGACACGTAGTGTCCTGGAGAGAAGCAGCAGCGAATTTAGAGGCGATTGTGGACGTGGAGGAAACTGCTGTTGGTGAATATCCAGCACAGGCAAATGCTCTCTGGGGTCAGAGCTCGTGGTGATTATAGGAATGGCTCCCTTTCTATTATTTCCTTTTTTTTAAGTCTCTTAAACTAAGATAAATTAGGAAGGGGTGGAAACCCAGTCTGGGGTGAGGAGAGAGAGAGAGGGAGAAAACGAGCAGCGCGTGTAAATAAACAGTCTTTGTTATGTCTGTTCACAATGGGGTCTCCCCCTGCTCTTATCACTGGCACAGGTGCCTGCCTACCTTGAAAGACACAATTAACAGTTGCTTTTGTGCGCGCGCGCGTGTGTGTTGCGAGTGCAAACATGGTGGGAGTCATCTCAGCGAGATGGCATCGCGTGTCCATTCAGATCAAACCACGGAGTAAAATCTGGGGAATCTCCCGTCAAAAGCAAAACTGAATGCGAGGGATAGGGAGCAGATGTGCATCTATAGCAGTACATCATTCCCTAACCGGAAATGCATTTATAGTATATTAAAAAGGAGGCGGGTTGTTGTTTTTAATCCCAGGGAAGAATTTACCTAGACCAAAACTTTTGCAACTTAAAAACAAAAGGGAACCAAAACAAAAAAAGGAAAGAAGCGAGTTTGCCCGAGCGATCTCTGTCCTCGAATTATATACATTGACTCGATTAATATCTCCCTGTCCATTGGTAGGAGGCAGCTGCCAACCTTTTCCTGGGACGAAATATAACCACCCGCGTTCCCCCTGCCTGTCTCGAACCTGCTGCTGTTGTATAAAATGCATCCCATTACGTGCATCTTTAAGGAAAACAACGCGGGGTGTCTTAAAATTGTCTTCCCTTTCTGATTCTGGCGTTCCCCGCATAGAGTCCACTAAACAACCGATGGCCCCCCGAAATCCTAATGGGAGGCTCGGGGAGAGACGGCGCAGGCTGCTTCTTCGGCCCACGCAGAGATTTGTCAGGGATTGGAGCCGGCTGGCTGCGGCTGTGCCGCCGCAGTCCGCTGCCCATTCAAGCAGATTCTCTCCAGAGAGGACTTTAATAAAATTGACAGAATAGTTGTTTAACCAGCCGTGTGAAGCGGCCTGAATCTCAGCCCCAGAAAATTAGTTAAGCTGCTGCACCCGTGGTCCTTGTGCGGGTTAGTTGATGTTCCGATGAGTGAATTAATTAAATAAGAGGCCCCAATACACGCTCTCTCACACACGCGCGCGCATGCCTTGCTCTCCTTCGTTTCCTTACTCGGAGTAGTCGGCTGCAGCGATGCATTTAATAGCAACGCGACCTCAGAAAGCGCAGATAGAGTTGCTAGCTAGCGGAGAGGGTTGCTTTTTTGCTTTTCCTTTTTTTAAAAAAGAAACTGGAGACGCGCTGCTCGCTCAAGGAAGAAGGACTCGAGAGAAATGAGTTAAGGGCGAAGAATTCACAGTTTTCACCCTCGTTACAACGAGGCACGGAGGGAGGCGGAATCCGATCTCGAGTAAATGATCCGGGGGAGTCTCTCCTGGGCAGTCGGGCGCCCTTGCTCCCTTTGCTGCTAGGAAGGATCCAGGAACAACCCCACACTTCGTCCCCAATTAAACCGCCGCAGAAAAGGCAACATTTAAAACAGTGGCGGGGGCTCCTCTATGTGCTGAATTTGAAAGAAAGATTTAGAGAGCTGAGTCGAAGCAGGGAAAAGAGACGAGGCGCAAGGCAAAAGCACAAAACAAAAGCCATTCCTAAAATCCCAAATTTAGCCACGCTAGTGGCAGGCACTAATAATAATGCAGGGGATCTTAGGAGAAAGGGGAGGCAAGTTGCCTTTTGTGCAAAAGCCATGAAAGAATGGTAACGGGGAGGTGGAGAGGAGGAACGCGGCCGCTGGGAATGTTGCCGCGTCGCTGTTTTTGAGCGAGTGTTTTTGCGCGCTTTTCGGCCTGCGAAGGATGCGCGGCGGGGCGAGGCTCGCTCGGCGCGGGCGGTGGGCCGGCTGGCTCTCTCGCGGTGGGGAAGTGGCAGGAGCCGGCTGCAGGGTAACCTGACACGCGGGGCTTCAGGGGAGTTTCCTGGGCAGCCTTAGGGTCTCTCGCTCGCCATAAATCAAGCAGCTTGATTAATCTTTACAATTTGTCTTTTAAAACAAACAAGGCGAATTATCAGCTCGTTAACTGCGATTTTATCACCTGTCTAAAACAAACAGCTTCCCTTAACACCCCCCTCGGAAAAAAGGGGGGAAACACCCGCAGCTTTGCTGAGTGCGGGAAAGGGCAATATTTAAAACGGTAGTTTGAACGCACAGCGCATCATTATGCACGCATTTATGCCAGCATTTCAGAGAGGTACAGGAGCGCATCTAGGGGAGCAAACAATGAAATTACCTTTTTATCCCACAATGCCTCAGTGGAGGGTCTCGATCTGGCCTCTGGGATTTTGGAAATTTGGAAAATGTTTGCTCATTTATTAATTAAAAACCTGCCCCATCTACACACACACATACACACACATCCCAACACCCCTCTGAAACCTCGACAGGGCAGGCGGAGGCGGGGCGGGGAAGGCTCTCAGGTACATCAAAATGTGTCCAACTTTATTCCCGAGTAACAAAATCGAAGCTTTTCTTTCCGCCTCTTGTCACTGGGGCTGGGGAGTGAAATAATTCTGCATGGTGCATGTCACTTTAAAATATCGTTTTGTGGTAAAGGCAAAGCTAATATTAGAACAGGAGAAAAGGTTCAGATCACAACCGAGGGCGGGGGGGGGAGCAAGCTGGTCTCTCCCTCCCTCGCTCCCTCCCTCCCGGCTGCCAGTCCTGGTGGAGCCGGAAGCCCTTCACAACGCGATATTGGGGGAATATCATATTTTCTAGCGCTGGCTTGACACTGAACCCCCCACGACCCCTTGACCTTCCTTTGATTTGGGAAGGTCCCCTCCGCGTTCCAGGGCTGCTTCTGTGCTTGGAGGGATCTCTCGCTGCTGCTGCTTCTCCTCTCTCCCCAGAATTTTTACCTGGGGAAGGAAAACAGGAGACGGAGGAGAACCCGCGCTTCCTGGTTGCTGCTGTATTATTTAGATTACGCACGCACTGTGTGCGTGTAGGAAAGGCTTTAGGTTTTGGTGAGAAACAGCGGCTTCTCTTGAAAACAAAACCACGCAAACAAAAATGAAGCGGGTTGAAGATCTGAAAAGGCCGGCAGCATCTGGGAGCGGCCTGATCGTGGCGCACACTCCTGGTGGAGATGGGCTGCTTGCCCCGGTCACCTCTCGTCTCTCCGGGCGCACACTGAGCCTGAAGGACATGGGGCGCCTCCCAGAGCTCACGTCTCGCTGTGCCAGGGTCTGTTCGCGGTGCGTGTGTGCTGGGGAGAATGACAAAGGCAGTGGGTGGGTCGATCCGCCTTGGCTCCCTGACAAGCCCACCATCTCAGCCCACCCTCCGGCCACAGGAGCAGAGCGGGAGGAGCCGTGCTGCCCGGGCCGGCTGCCCCCACTTCTCCTCTTTCTTACCCGGATCGCCATGGCTCCCCTCCTGCTTTGGAAGAGGGTGGGCTGGGGGTCTCTCTCTCCCCGTCTCTCTCCTCGCAACTAAGCTGAAGAGGAAGCCGAGGACTCCGGGAAGGCATCCGGGAGAAAACAAAGACCAAACGAGCGAGAGAAGCAGCGCAAGCTGGAGGGCGGAAAAAGGGGCATTGCAAGAGAGCATCGTCCTAACCTCCAGGGCCCACGGGCTGGGATGGGATCCCCGCCGGAGCCGACGCAAAGAGGGGGCAGCAGGGAGAAGGAGAGGGGGGAGAGAGGGCTCTGGGCTGCGCCTTCCCGCCCGCCTTGTTTGGGAATCTGGAATTGTTTTGTCTGGCTCGGAAGGTGACAGGGAGGCGAGGGCCGGGGGGAGAGAAGGAGACGGGCGCAGGAGGGTGCCTCCAGCTCCCCGGAGAGCCCGCGGAGGCTTGGAGGGGGGCAACGAGGGGCTGAGCAGGGTGGGCTCTGCCCACCCCCTTTGGGGTATATTATTAAAAAGTTCATTTCCTGGCGAATTTGGCAGCGGCGGGTGACGTCAGAGCCCCGGCGTCTCGGCGACGGCCCGCCTGGCTGGGGAGAAGGAGCCTCCTCTGGCCCAATTACGGGCTGTCAATCTTCCCCTCCCCCGCCCTTCAGGAAAGTGGCCTGGCCTCCCCCTCCCCCTTCATATGGGGCGGGGGAGCAAGGAGAGGAGGCAGAGAAGCCACCCACCCACCCAGATCCCCACCGAGGGTGCTGCATCTGACCTCCGTGCCATTTCGCTCCCCTTCTTCGCCTGTAAGGTGAGGAGGAGGCGGAATTGTCCCCCCAACTAGGATGCTGCGAGCGCGTCTCTTTCTCCCTAACCCACCCTAACAGGTATTCACGCTCTGTGCTGTCATTTGCACCCGCCAACAACCCACGAAGAGCGATGATGCTATTTGATCGCGCGCACACCAAAGTCTTGCTTTGACGCTGGAAATTCAATTTATATCTCCAGCACTCTAGGAATGACAGTCTGCTCATTATTTTTCATCTCCTCCCTCTCCTCACACAGCGCATAAGGTATATAGTTCCTTGGGCTGGAATGTGTGCGTACGTGGCAGTATTGTCTTATAAGTTGGTGCCAACACCAATTCCAAAAAATCCCTATTAGGGCAATCCCTTTATTAGGCTAACCAGAGCGTCACAAAACAAGGTGCAGACTTTCTTGTCCCCCAGAACTCTTGCCATTTAGCCTGATGAAGAGTTCTGAAGCACCCTAAAGCTTGCTTATTGTTTTGTCTAGCATTTTGGTTGGCCTAGCAAGGGCATTGTCCTAATATGGATTTTAGATTATGGGCCAACAAAGCTACCTTCACTTCTTTTTCAAGAGCACCTAGAAGTGTATTTAGAATTCTGGTCGTATACAAGGCAGATGTGGTTCAGGTGGTATTTTTGATTGCATCAAGCATGTATGCAGCGCAGCACCTTTTCCAGTTTTACAGAACCTTTTGAAAGAAAACAATGTGGGTGGGTGGGGGTTCTGCGCAGCTCTAAAGCTTGCACTTTTTTGTTAGCAAAATAAATAGGTATGTTATCACTTGAAACTTTGGGGAACGTTCTTATTTGTCTTCCTGTTTCACCTACACTGTTTGCACATTATAAATAGGGATCCTTCACAAGCCACAATGACACACACAAACGATGCCCTCCTGTCTATGCTTACAGTACCTGGCTTTACAAGTGGATCACAATTCCTCCAAGATGCTCAGCCAACTGAAGTGCCATCATCTATTCTGTTCTGTGGCCTGGATCCCGGGAAGTGTCAGGAGAAGCAAAACAACAACAAACACCTGGAACATAATAGCACCTGGGTCAGTCACAGAGGCACTCCTATATTTTCCATCCCAGTAAATTTCAATTTTGGAACTGGAAAGAAGGTCTTTCCTTCCCTCTGACTCACATTTGGTTGATTGCATCCATTCTTCCATTAAATGGCATGATTTCATTTTTATTTTTAAATTTCTCTCTCTGTTTGTGTGTGTGTATATATATATATATATATATATATACATATACATATACTGGAGACAGTATTATACCTTGTGGAAGGGGAGAATAGGGACATTTGGTTCCATTACCTTAGTTAATTAAACAAACAAACAGCCGCCCTACCCTCACAACCAGGTACTTTAAGAGAAAGGAAAACTCCCATATCTTAAGTTCTTCTTGGCTAAGGTTTTCCTAAGGTGCAGGTAGCTGGAGACAGAGTCTTCAAAATGTGATGACTGAATTAACGCCATGAATGAAAAGTCCTGTTGACTTGTTCCTATAGCCTCAGAACAGGGGCTTGATAGGCAAGGGTCCACCTGGAGGAAGAGACGCTCCCCACCAGAGGCGGAAGAGCCCATGCTGCTGAACACCTGGAGAGGCTCCTTCAGCCTTGGTGGTGTCCTTAGCAAGGGCTTGTAACTGGCTCCATTCTCCTGCCGACTTCTCTAACTCTTTGCAGGGACACAGAGCCCATTTGGGGAAAGGGGGAGTTTCTTCCCCCAACTCTACCTTGGGGGCTTGTCGTTTCCAAGAGGGGCTAATGCCCAGTGACAGCTGAACAGCTCAGGGTGTCAAAGGAAGGAAGATCTTCTGGGCGTTTGAAATAAACCAGCCTTGCCTTGTTGACGGGGAACATTAGTCAAAGGGGGTTGCTTTTATTTCCATCCCTTCCGAATACTATAAGATAGATTTAGCAGCGTTTGGGGCGGTGGTAACAAAACGGCGTTTCGAGGTGGGTTTATAATGTTTCCTTTTTACGACTAAGGCTGCGATCCCGCGCACCTAGGATAACACAGTGGGCTCTGCGTAAACGTGCTTTAAGATTGTGGACACTAACCTCTCTCACCTAAGAATCTGAGGTGAATTTAGGACCAAATTTGTCCTAAATATATCCATCCAAGGGGGCTGACCTGTATTACGTGACTAAGGTAAAAAGTACGCAAGGGCCTAAAGAGAAAAATAAATGAAGTGTCTTTGGGTGTCTTTGAGAAATACTTCTTTCCCCCCATACCCAACCTCCACCCCTCAAAAAAAGTGACATTAGAGGTGAATAATCGTTTGAGGAGACTGGAAAGAAGAGGCGGGATGCCCATTCGCGGGTTCCATTGTCAGCCTGCGCGTTTGTGTGCGTGCGCGTTATTAAAGACCCAGAGATGAAAGTGCCTTGACTTTGTAGAAAAGTTTCTCATTAACTGCGTCTTAAAACTGAGAAGGAAAATGACGCCTCTGCTGTTCCAGAACTGATGCAGGCTGGACAGGCTGCTGTACCTTCCGTCCAAATACGAAGAGAATTTTTGGCTAAATTACGGGAGCGCGTCGTGTCTCCCATCCTTCCCCACCCCCATTCTGCAGAAAGGGCTGGGTCTGGGTCAGGGGTTGAGGATCGGTGAGGTCTCTTAGCATCCGTGCAAGCGCTTTGGTAGTCCTGGGCGGCTGTGAAGAGGAACGAATAAGGAAGAAGGTCGAAGGACAAAATAACAATGCGAGAATCCACCGGAGTGAAAGCAGACCGCTTGGGTGTTGAGCAAAAGGGCAGGAAGGGTGGCTGCTTAGCAAGCCTGGCCCTCGACGCAGCGGTTGGCCAAGAGTTTAGGAAAGTTTAAGACGCGGCGCTTGCCTGCCCTGCAACCGGAGTCGCCATCTCTCCTGGCCGCTCTAGTTTGTATCTGGACGCGTGCGCCCGATCCATACCTGGGGGGGGGGGGGCTGTCGTGGAAAGGATCACACAGGGCAGCAATATAGTATTAGGGGGGGTCCGGAGGGCGGAGGGAAGGGGGCGAGCTTGGCTTTCAGAACTTCCTTTATCTGGTCGGTTAAATTCGACGGCGATCCTGGCCTGATTGTGCAATGCGCAACGAAGAGCCAGAAATCACAGGCGGCAACTACAGCCCATGGTCGCTTCGGCTTCAGGCTCTGGGAGGAAATGCAGGCCGAGAATGCGCGCAGCAGAGTCGGGAGGGCTTACTTCCGAGTAGGCACGCTTCACCAAACTGAAGCGGGGTAGGGGGAGAGTCGGGACTGCATTCGTAGGGACGGGGGGGTAAACCCCAAAGAGAGAGTGTGTGTGGTGTTCCCACCTTATCTTCGATGCCGTCATCTGCACCCCCGCCCGCAGATCAAATATTTGGAGAGACGTCACTTGTCTATAAACCTCCTTCTTTACCTGCAAGAGCAGCAAGAGGGGTCTGGGGCGGGCTCCTGTTGGAGTAGCGAACTCGAGGAGACAAAGTTGGTGAGTGTGTTTCTAATCTAACGCCTCCATTTATTCCTTCACCAGGCTTGGCTAGTTATGGCAATTGCAGTGGGCTGGCTTGTTTTCCTGCAACCAGCCAGGTCATTCTCTGGTGTGTTGTGTGTGTTTCCCCCAGATCAGAGACACAGGTGTCTGCCTCAAATGACACAAGTGAACCGATGCTAAGGCGTGCGCGCGTGTCACCGCAACAACGGGGCATTTACCTGTCCATCAATTTAAAACAAGCTGGGGAGCGAGTCTCAAATCCGGCGAGGGGTGGGGAAATATCTCTTCAAAAGCAGGGTGGCAGAGGGAAAGGGGTTGTATCTATAAAGTAAGCATTTTTTTAAAAAATCTACCTTATTATGAAAATAGCCTTACTCCCGAAAACAGATTTAGGGAGATCAAAACTTTTACCGCACAAAAGGCATGACTATATTTAAGAGTATTCTGCTCGGAGAGAAATCCGCAAGAATATCTCTCTTATCTAGACGCCGTCCATGGCATTGAGAGTTTTCTAGAAACTAGAGACACGCAGCTCGCTCAAGGAAGAAGGAGTCGAGAGAAACGAGTTAAGGGCGAAGAATTCACAGCTTTCACCCTCGTTACAACGAGGCACGGAGGGAGGCGGAATCCGATCTCGAGTAAGTGATCCGGGGGAGTCTCTCCTGGGCAGTCGGGCGCCCTTGCTCCCTTCGCTGCTAGCAAGGATCCAGGAACAACCCCACACTTCGTTCCCAATTAAACCGCCGCAGAAAAGGCAACATTTAAAATAGTGGCAGGGGAGAGGAGAGGTTTTATTAGGCTCCTCTATGTGCTGGATTTGAAAGAAAGATTTAGAGTTCTGATTCGGAGCAGGGAAGAAACGAGCCACAAGAGCAGCAGCGTCTTTAGCAAAAATTGCGAATATTAAAACTCTTAAGGTTAGTCAGGCTGGCGATGGGCAACAACAACAACAACGCGCTTAATCTGAGGAAAGGGAAGGCAGCTAGCGCTCGTAGAACTCGTGTGCAAAAGCAAAGTCCCTTGAAATGTTGCTGCTGCTGTTTTTATTAATGCGGAATGGTGGACGGAAGAATGTATCCACTGAATAGTTTGTCTTCTAAGTCGTGGGCTTGATTTGGATGGTTTCTTTCCTTTTAGAAATGTTTTTGCTTGTGAGGGGGGCGTTCTTTCAGTCTGCAATCAATGTTTTCTGGGGGTGATTGGATAATTTTCCTTTTCAATTTTTACTTTTTGCTGGGTTTCAAATGGGGAGTGAGAGTTGCGGAGCCAGCGGCTAGTTCTCTCCAGCCACCCACCTCGCCTGTGGCAGGAGCTGTTTCAAGCAGCAGGCTCGAAAGCTTCGGGGGCTTCAAACTAACAGAAAGCGTTTATTAAAAAGTTTTGGAAAGCCCAAGCAGTAGCATAGTCATGGTTTTTACATTCAGGGAGTTAAAAGCATATCAGTATTTTGAACATGATTGAGAGATGGTCCTGTTACATCGTTTCAATGCCCCATAAGGAATGAAAAGAGTATACAATAACCTATGTGGTTTGCCTGGATTTTCCTGGAATTGTAAATGTCCAATAGTTATATTGGACACAAAGGGTTCTAAATATGGCCTTGGTTTGGGTGAGATTTTTCAGGCGATTACCTAGGAAGACTCATGACTTCCATGCAAAACCAGTGCTTTTGTATTCCTGCTTTAACCTAAATATCAGATTTAAGAAAATCCAGAGAGGTAGGAGGCTATTGTAATGATCTGGCAGCTATATTATCACTAAATTATACTTCTACCCAGAATTATTTCCAAATTGCCATGCCCGTGGAGTATTAATATAATTAATTCACTTCTACTAAAATTATTTACTATTTTAAACGAAGATTTTAAACTGATGTTAAAAGTGTGACTTGGGAAACGTATTTCTGTTTTTTTATATATAAAAAAATGCAGGTTGGGTATTGGTTTTGTTCATTTATGAAATGGTGAACAAAACATGCTGCCTGAGAAAAATGGCATATCGACTACGATCCTGAATGTACTTACTGCTAAGAAGTTAAATCAGCTCGGGGGGCTGATCTACTGTGAAGTGAATGGACTGAGCACTGAAGTTATGAGGAAATGACAATTATGTAATAATAGAACCAAAACACTGAACTACAGTGGAAAGAAATAAGGCATGTAGTTAGAAATAAAATCATTGCCGATTTTAAATACGTTTGGATTCAAATTCGCTGGTACATTAACAGCCACTTCAGTTTTATTTGAGGTACTGCTGGTTTACTCTGCATGTGCCTGGGATCCAACCCACCTAACACTACTCTAATTACAACTGAATCAGCTTGAACAAAACAAAACAAATGCAGGCAATTGTTGCCCTTGTTTTAAAATGATGGGAAACCGGACTGTGGGCCTTGAGAAATAGGGGGTGGGTTTCCTAAAGCTGACCATATTTCGTGATCCCATGTCCCTGCCTACTCTGCTTTTAAGTACTTCTCTCTCCCCCACCCCCTTTCTCCCTATGTTATTTAGTGCCGTGTAGATTCCCAAATCCTAGGTAAGGAGCATGCTTTACGCTGAGTAAAGTATACACTTTGCAACAAGAAGAAAGCGCGATCTCTGAGAGATAAGGAGCTTGCTTAATAATGGGAAAGCTGGAATGGGGCGAAGCGAGAAGTTATGGGAGAGGTGGGGGGCAGCAAAAGTCTAAAAAGCAATGGAGGAGTGGAATGGCGCGTGGGGTGGGGGGGGGGAGGGAGTCTTTGGCGGGTTCAGCGCTTTTTAGCTGTTTGGAGTAAATGAGGGGAATGTGGATTTCCCGGGGCCAATCGCAAGGCTCGGCTGAGCGCCTGGCTGCTGATTGGCTGGTTCTTAGCCTGCGCGTCGCCCCTAGTTCATGTCTACTGAACTGAGTCCAGCTGGCGCCAGAGCTGACATAGGATGCTTTGGGGATGTTACAAAAAAGGCCAGAATAAGTGGAGCTTGCCATCTGAGTAAGAGCTTCTATCCAAGCCTCCTCTCTCTCTCTTCGCTCTCCTTCGCCTCTCCCTCGCTCACTCTTTTCTGCATTTCCATCCTCCAAACAATCATCTCCCCTCCCCCCCCTTAACAGCCTCATAAAGAAACTTTTCAAACATTTGGAGTTAGATTCAGTCTGCTTGGAATTTCTCTCTGTAAGTATGTTTGTTAGTGGAGCCGAGAGGGTGGGCGGGGGGAGGAAAAGGAGACTGCGCTTATTTTGCAGGAGAAAACGCGTTCGAATCGCTGTTTTTTGTTTTTGTTTTTAAAGCACTCATCACTCCGAGTTTTCTTTTCTTTTATCTCAGTTTGAACTACAAACAAACGCAGACCAAAGGGCTCTCTTCTTTTCCCCTTTTCTTACAGTTCGTCGCTTATTGACAACTGTAGAAAAGTAGATACTATTTTTTTTTTGTACAGCGGAACATTAAAAACAAATGTTTTGATGTTAGCCTGGGGACGGTGTGGAAGAATGAATATTTTTGAACTGGGAGGGGGTGGCGGCTACAGACTGTGATGGTCAAAATAAGGACCCTCCTTCGCTCCCCTCTCTTCCCTCCCCCCACCTCCATCCCGTGATTCAGAGGACAATTTTTACAGGACTGTGTCTGCCGGAATCTAACGCGTACTCTTTGGAGCACATCTTCAAAAGGCACGTAAGGTACTAACCGTTCCTTCCTTCCTTACAGGTGGTGATCCCAGGTGTGTGGCAGGAGCCTCTCTCCGCAACTTCCCTGTTTAAAAGAGGGACACACGGTTACCTTTGTCTGCCTTCCGAGATCAACCTAGCTCTCTACTGTTTCTAAACCAAAACGGTTTTGGGTTGGAGGGAGGGTTTTAGGGGGGGAGTGGGGGAGAAGCCCACAGGAATGGAGGTAGCCACGGACCAGCCGCGCTGGATGGCCCATCACGCCGTACTGAACGGGCAGCACCCGGAGAGCCATCACCCGGGACTGGCTCATAACTATATGGAACCAGCGCAGCTCCTACCTCCGGACGAAGTGGATGTCTTCTTCAATCATCTGGACTCCCAAGGCAACCCGTACTATGCCAACTCGGCCCATGCCAGAGCCAGAGTTTCCTACAGCCAGGCGCACGGTAAATCCCCCCCCCCCGCTTGCTCCTTCCTCCCTCCACCCCCGGCCTCCCAGCTCTTCTTGCTTTCTGTTTCTGCCTCGGGCTCCTGCTGATCTTCATGGAGATGCGACTGGGAGGTTTCTGGCAAAGGCGCAATGGTAGATGAGGGCGATCGGGTTGGGTTTAATCCTAGAAAAAGGTTGGCGTGCCCTTTTTTTTTTAAAGGGGGGGGGGGAATAGGAAAGGGAAGCGGCGTCTTCGCGTTGGGAGAGGGGGAAGGGGCTTGTTAACTACAGATATACAGTACTATACTTCGCAGGCACAAGACCGGGCCATTTCCCGGATATGAAATCTAATCCTATTTGAAATGCTTTTGGATCAGCATGCATATAAAGGCGGGGTCGGGGAAAGATGAGATGACGCGCACCTTTTTCATGTGTGTGGAGAAAACTTTAAAAAGCATTGCAGTCACTGGGAGAAAAAATCCTCCCAAAACCACCACCACCAACAAAAACAACTCGTTCTGCTTAATAGAGCTCTGTTGGGAGGTGTGCGTGTTGCTTTTAAGACTAGGAAAGGCCCAACTCCTTGACACATCCACCCACCCTGCCCTCTCCTCGTGTACTTTTAACGGTGGGGCCTTGCTCCCATACCCGAAGTAGTTCTGCTGCTCGATTGCAGGAGGGAAGATCGCCTGCCTGGCGGTTGCTAAAATTCATTTGACCTGAGCAAAGAGTGGAGGAGCTGTGGGGTACCTTCCTATCTGGATCTCCCCCCCCCCAAAAAAAACCTGTTCCAAAGCACGGGATCCAGCATGCGGGCACTTTACTCCTGAATCCCCACTGATTTCCGAAAGAAGCCCCAAGTGTCCTTTTTCTTGCTGCTCACTGTTGATTCTGCAAGTTTTTATTTTATTTTGGGTAGGCGGCCTCGTTTGCGCTCCTTTAACGAGCTTTTGACCCTCCTCTGGGAGTCAAAAGCGCGTTTGCCTTGGAATGGGAGTTGAATCATGGCTGCTTGGAGGGGCTGGTATACTAATGTGCATGGCGTAGATTCCGGGCGAAGGCAAGGCTGACTCCATTTTGTGGCTCGAGTAGGGGCAAGGCCAAAGGGTGTGCTATCTTCCTTGCACACAAGGCCTCGCCTAGGCGCAGCGGGGTGCGGGGGTCGGCATGTGGGTGGCCGGGAGAGAAAAGCGCCCATAGGCCTCCCCATACCGTCTGACTGACTGCCGCCCTTTCCCTGCCCGCAGCCCGCCTCACCGGGAGCCAAATGTGCCGGCCTCACTTGCTCCACAGCCCCGGCCTGCCCTGGCTGGACAGCAGCAAAGCGGCTCTGTCGGCGGCGCACCATCACAACCCGTGGACGGTGAACCCTTTCACCAAGGGGCCCTTGCACCCTTCGGCGGCCGGCGCGCCGCCCGGCGCCATCTCGGTGTACCCCGGCGGCGGCAGCTCGGCGTCGAGCGCGGCCTCCGCCTCGTCGCTCACGCCGGCCTCGCACTCGGGCTCGCACCTCTTCGGCTTCCCGCCCACGCCGCCCAAGGAAGTCTCCCCGGACCCCAACGCCGGCAGCAGCGCCGCCTCGCCCGCCTCGGCCTCGGCCGGCCGGCAAGACGACAAGGAGCCGCTCAAGTACCAGGTGTCCCTGGCCGACGGCATGAAGATGGAGAGCGCCAGCCCGCTGCGCAGCAGCCTCGCCGCCTCCATGGGCGCGCAGCCCTCCACGCACCACCCCATCCCCACCTACCCTTCCTACGTGCCCGCTGCCCACGACTACGGCGGCAGCCTCTTCCACCCGGGGAGCTTCCTCGGGGGGCCCGCCTCCAGCTTCACCCCCAAGCAGAGGAGCAAAGCCCGGTCCTGCTCAGGTAAGCCCCTTGTCCGCCCCACCCTCTTCTCACAGAATAATGATAAGAATAAGAATAAATAATGCACCCCTTTAGGAAGGGAAAATGGGTCGGTGGGGCTGCATGTGCATGGATGGGGGTGGAAGAGGAGGCAGCCCGTATGAGTGTTTGCTCAACTTTATGTCTTGTGTATATTCTCAAAAGAGGATTTCTAATGCTCCTGCCTTACTCCGAGATAAGAACTGGAAACTGCTACCCTGGCCGCTGCTAATTAACAACTTATAGCAATAACTATACATATTTAAAATGCGGCCAAAGGATTCCGAGGTGACTTGAGGCCTCCTGTCTGAAATTCAGTGCTTGGGATTGAGGCAATTCATGTCATCCACCAGATCAGAGTTCAGAGATTTTGCGATAGTGGATAGAAGAAAAAAATGAAAACAAGTGCTTAAAAATAAGGCTTTTGTGTATTTTGCGGGGTGGTTTTCTCAGTACAAATTGCAAAGACCAAAGCACCCACATTGAACTAACTATTTAAATAGTAGCAGTTACCAAAAAAAAAAAAAAAAGTTGAATGGATGCTGGAAGTTCTGGGCCACTTACATTCACATCCAGTTTATTAATTCAGTTTAAATTTACTGCTCCTTTGGTTTTGTAATTGCAATAATCAAGGCAGATTAGAATTGCTGTTGGTGTATTAACATATACTGAAAACTGGAACAATTGTTTTTTATTTTAAAACTCTTTAAGCACCTTGATCTTGTGCAAAAAGAGTGGCTAAATGGGTTAAAGTGTAGGTAAATAATCTGGATTAAGTGATTCTGTGTTTCATAGGACATGTTTTAAAATGCCCCGCTTCAACCTGAATGGATTCCCCTTGCTCAGTTTTAGTGAGAAAGTGTAACCAAATTGAACTTACTCATACATTTTATGAGGATGGGGGAGCAGCTTGGAACAGCAGGGGCATCTCTAGCTTTCAAAAGTTTAGTTTGTTATTGCTAATTGGTTGTAGGCAAGCTGTCTCTCCCTTCAAGTTCCTGCCGCTGGTCTCTGCAGCATTCGGTCACCGCTGGGCCCAAGGGATGCAGTAATCCGTTAAAAAACCCCCACAAAACTGGCAGATCTGAATTATGCAAATAAGGGTTTATATTGGAAAATCTCTTAAAGCAGCAATATAAAGGCCTAGGCCAGCTGTATTCACTGGAAATGTCTGGCAAGATCCTGTATTCCCTTGCCTCTTTTTGCGGGATCTCTACTAAGTTGCTTTTGTTAACTTGTGATAAAAGTTCATCTTTATTAAGCAGTACATTTTGCAAAGAACTAGCTGTTCAGGCTTGAAATTTACAAGGCCATTTTCTTAAAACTTCCAGAGGGCCTGATTTCCTTCAGATCATACAAGGAGCAAAAGTTCAAATATAGTTTACATACCAATGCTGGCTACTAAGGTACCTTGTAAATACTAATTTAAATGAATTCAATAAAACGGGGGGAGGGAAATAAGTGCCACTTATCATGTTAACTCCAGCTCATCCCTGTTTGTTAAAACAAGCAACTTAAAAAAAAATCCCATCTGTCATCACATATAAAATCTTTAAGCCAAAGAGACTCTCTTAACCTCTCTTTCTTTAAAAGTGTACTGTTTAATGAATAATATTCTCATGGATACAAAAGCTAATAATTAATGTTCATATTGCTTCATTTATATTTTTTGCTTTCAAACCTTACCAGGTCATAGTAAATACATATGGAGTTTAATGCGGCCAAAAATAAAAAATAAAACAGGATATATATGTCTATACACACATCTCTTTTCAAAGTGGCTAGTAATTCAGAAACATGATCTCTTTTATGAGCATTGCAACCCAAATATCACATGTTTTTACTCCTTCAGGATCTCCACTTCAAATTGCTCCCTTTCAAGAGCGAGAGAATTCACATTTTCCCCAGGACCCGAGATAGATTACTGTCTCCAGTACATAGAAACAGAATGCAATTTTTAAAATATCCCACACCACTGTTACTTTTCTAAAGTGCTCCAAACTAGATAAAACAGTCACCTTGGAAAATTAGGTCTCAGCCCCTCCTCCCCTGCTCTCTCAGCACAAGGCTTTTTATTAGATGTGAGTTTTCCTAAGTGTTGTAATGGAGACCCTGTCCTGTAGATGGAAGTGGGGAGAGTTCGTGACCATTTAATGTTTTTGTAGAAAAACCAAGACTCACGACAAGGCGACTCCTGCAGCTTCCTGCTCAAGGAGGGACAAAAGCGAGGAACTCAGCTTCACAGAGTTCCCTCATTTTTCACTCCAGCCTGTACTGTTTAAAAACCACCCACTCCATAGATTAAAGGAGACATAGATGCAGCAGAACTCAGCCTGCTCGAGTTACTGGCCAAAGTGTATTTCCTCTGCATTAAATACTGTATGATTTGCATAAACTGTGCTAAAAGAATTTCCTCTATTAACTAGACTTTTTCACAGAAAAATGAACTTTTAGTAAATATCCTCCCCCCCCCCCTCTTTTTTTTTTTAGAGGAACAAGCATGTACATAGCAGAATCTTTCAAGTTAGGTCAATCCTTAAACGTATAGCCAGTGAATATTTATGTATGATATGAACAAGCCAGCAACAAAGAGCATACTCAATCAATCAGAACTTCCTTATGAAATTGTAAACCGCAGGCTCAAAAAGTTAAATGTATACTCATTTAAAGAATAGATTTCAAGCTGTTTTCCCTCCCATATATTGAAAACCCTTATTGAACTATTTCAGATCTTTGTCCACTTTCAAACTCTGCTTAATTCCAGAGAGAGTAGTATTCACAGGAAAAACAGTTTGGATCTGCTGGTGGTGGGAGAGTTGCCATTCTGTTTAGATAACTATGCTAACTCGGCAATGCAATCCATACAATTGTTGATGTTCCTACTTTGCTTTTCTTGGGAGCTTTTTTTGTGGGGGGGGGAGTGAGGGGAGGAAAGAACAGTCCCAAATATGCTGTGGCCATAGAGCTGCATTAGACTGGAGAAGCAAAGCAGGACATTTTCTGCCACATTGTGATTGATACCAATGCAAGTTCTACTAAATATAATTGCTTTCTGATCGCTGTGTACGAAATTGATGCTTGAAATTTGTGCAACTCTCCTGGATTTAGACCTTTATTGCATGCAGTGTAGATGTTGCCATTCATGTCTCTCTCTTGTTTTCCTTCCCTCTGTTTTGAATAATGTGCTGTTTTGATTTCTGGAATCTGCCTAAAAGGACAATGCAAAAAGCTTTTGTGAATTTGTTTTTAAAGAAAGAAATCCGGTTTCTTCGTGTTTCCATTTAGAAGGCAGAGAGTGTGTCAACTGTGGAGCTACTGCCACCCCTCTCTGGAGAAGAGACGGTACTGGGCATTACCTGTGTAACGCCTGTGGGCTCTACCACAAAATGAACGGTCAAAACCGACCTCTCATTAAACCTAAACGGAGACTGGTAGGTGTCTATTTCTCTCTACCAGCTTTGAGGCTAAAATGATTTAATGGGACCACACACACATACACAACATGCGTGTATGGTGACGAGACGGCAACTTGACCCATCTCTGTGTGCTTCAGAGCCTGTATGGGATCTAGATATTGCACTGCACACGAGACCCATGTCACTCAGCGGTCACGGTGTCGCTTAGAGACATACTTTCTTTTTTGCAGGGGGTCCTGCCCGCAGAACTTTGCATGCCAAGTTACAGAACAATAGCAATTTTGTTTGTGGATATACATCACACATTTAGTATTTGAGCGGCTCCCCCCCCATCCATTGTTTTATTGTAGCTCTTAAATCGATCCTGTAAGGTAGGTTAGTGCTATTATTTCCATTGTGCAGGGGTAAGGACTGAGGCCGAGAGAGGGTGGGTTCCCTAAGGCTACAGAGTTGAGTTCACTGCAGAGGTGAGATTCAAACTCTGAAGCTGCCGATTTGTAGCTCAAAGACACTAGCCAGTGTGAAACCACCAGCTCACCTTCTCCTGTTCTGTCTGTATTTTCTCTAAAGCTCTGGCTGTTGAAAGGTGTGTAGCCAATTGTGCTTGCCTGTTTGTTCCTGTGGCTGCATTCTGTCCCTTTTATCCAGAAAGGACAGCTTTAATTCATTTGACCTCTTGGACAGTTCAGAAGTAGGCTGGAACTGAAAGTGTTAGTCATGTATGCCCTTCCAGCCCAAAAGTCCAAAAAGAGATCCAAAGCAGAAAGTGTAAAGGGGAGAAAAAGAGAGATTGGGAAATCAGATACGTCAAAGTTGTTGCTATCTGCTCAGTAATTATTTTGATAAAGTAATTTTTGTACTCAGAGATTCCATGGCAAAACTAACATTAGCTCTCTCTTTCTCTTTTCTCTCTCTCTCTTTGGGCAATTCTCTAATTGCCTTTTTAAAAGAACTGATTATTTTTCCATGGAGTCACCTATACTGTGTATTTTCATTTGAGTGATTAAAAAAAAAAATTCTAGGCTCCTGGTAGTAGTTTCCTATCCGGATATCTGTACTCTGAAGATAAGGAAACTTTGTGTATCTGTTTCCTGACTCTAAAAGCTTTAAAGAGTTTCTATAGACAAGCCATGCCAGTCAGGCTGTCTGTTTTGAAATTGCGAATATGCTCCACTCTACAAATGCTTGTAAAAAAAATATGCTAAGAATAATAAATATTTTTCTTTTTTGGAGCAATGTGGTTTGTGGAGTTGGGTGGAGGTCCTAAAACTCCCTCAGCATTCGGGGGGGGGGGGTGTTTTTTGCCACAGCAAGAACTAGGAGGAGACTGAAGGAGCGGCTCTAGTAATCTAAAGCTAGGATGGGCTACTGTGGGGGTCGGCTGTGAGTCAGAATTTCAACAGGGCGAGCTTCTTAATAGGCTTGCTTTCCTTCTGAAGTGAGTGACACGTCTAGAAAAATGTTAAGACAACAGTGTAACATTATCGTCTCTCGCAGGCTAAACTCCATGCCAGACTAAATGGGACAGGCCATAGAGTTAAGCGGCAGAGTCTAGTATCAATAAACTATCTCAAATATGCAAACATAGCTCTCTGCTTTCAAATGTTTGGTGGGAGACTGCAAGTCCTTAACTCACTGCAAGTTTCTGGAGTTTGTGTTACTATATATTTTTTATTTGTTAGATCAAGGAGTGAGCCAGGGCAATCCAAATTCTAAGTACTTTCCAATATTATAAACAATCGGTGTTGAAAAATCACCACTGTTGTCCCCGAACAATGATATTAATTTTAAAATACTGCACCACCATTTTTTTACCCACTGAGACCTCCAAAAAGCGTTGCAAAATTTGGAAGTCTGGATAAAAGATGAAAATGTTTATAAACTGTGCCAGAAAGCTGTAGCTGTATAAGAGATAAGAAATAATCTTGATCCAGTGATAGGGATCTAAACATTGCTCGGCTGCAATGAAAGCATGATGGGGCGGGGAAGGCTAGCTTCAATCATTCAGCCTGAACATCTAGCTCTATTTAAGGGTGTTGTTGTGTTTTTTTGGGAAGGGGGGTCTCTCAGTGCTCGCAGGCCAATAGCAGATTAGTGCTGTGATGTGCTTTTGAGTGAAGCCCTTCATAACACAAATGATAGGCAGAGTAGGAACACAAGAAAGCGCAGGACTCAGTTTGAGAGCCTTTGCCACTATTCCCTCACCCCATCTTATCATCCAGAAGTCCCTTACAGTGCTGGGGCCTCAGTGGGGGACGGGAACACCTAAGCTATTCCCCAGGCATCCCCTTTCCCCAGCTCTGGTCCTACTTGAACTGATCACAGCTGTGAGAAGCTTCTACTCACCAGACTTCACCGCTCTGAGAACCAGGGGCAGTTACGTGTCCTTCTTTTGCACTCCTAGTTCTTTGAATAGGACTCAGTAAACTTGGAATAAGTTGGGAGGGGGCCTTAGTCCAGTGGCAGAGTATGTATGTGCTTTTCCTGCAGAAGCAATGGTAGCGATTCACTTTCTGGCAAGTAACAGGTTAGTTTATTACAGGATTTCCCCAACTTGGGGCTCCAGTTGTTTTTGGACTACAATTCCCATCATCCCTGGGCACTGGTCCTGCTTGCTAGGGATGATGGGAGTTGTAGTCCAACAACAGCGGGAGACCCAAGTTTAGGAAACCCTGGTTTAGTACATCATTTGGATTAGGTGGTATAGGATGTGGAAGACTTGCTTTGACCCTCGGGAGCTATTACCAGTCAGAATGGACACTACTGGGCTAACTGCCTGGTGTAACAGAAGGCTGTGTCTTATAAGGAGCTTCTGAAAACAACTTTGGTGAACTGAATAGTGTAATCGCAGTTGGCACATTACATTTTCATGCCTTACACAAAAAACTCCAATGGCACGTATTCCCCGATTCCACTACCATGCTTTTTCACATAGTTCCCATTCATTTCAATTGGTCTTGTAGAATAGAACTTCTTGGAGGATTATGATCCAGGGAGCAGATGTGCCTCTGCTGCACTTCAGGGCAACCAATTTCTACCACCTGAATTAGCCTCTTAATTTTGTCCCATGGTATGGCAACTCCAGTTATAATGATTTTTTTCAATAGTCCTTTTATAATATAGCTTTGTTTCTGAACATGCTTTCCTTCCATTCATTTTGTAACTTTATGATTCAGATATTTTTTTTCCCTGCAGCTCCTAACACGTTCTTGGTGCCAAACGTAGCAATAGCAGCAGTTGTAAAAATAAATGTATGCTTCTCTCTCTTTCTCTTTTTCTCTCATTTCTCTACTCCTGAGAGCTGGCTATTAAAGACAAACATGCTTAGTTGTGAGACTCATGATGAAATTGTGAAAATTGGTAAACACAGTCATGAGCTTTTTAGTATACAGTGGTACCTTGGTTTATGAACTTAATCTGTTCCGGAAGTTCGTTCTTAAACCGAAGCCGTTCTTAAACCGAGGTGCGCTTTCCCTAATGAGGCCTCCCACTGCCAGTGCCCTTTCACTGTTCGGCTTCCATTCATAGAACGAGGTAAAGTTTGCTAACTGGAACGCTACATCCAGTTTTGCAGAGTTCGTATACTGAATAGTTTGTAAACAGGGCTGTTCTTAAACCGAGGTACCACTGTACACTGAAAGGCTTGGGAGAATCGGTGACCGTTGTGCACAGTCAAGATGGTTGGATCATTTGTCCTCATACATAAGACATTCCTAGCATTGTAGCTGAAATCAGATGGAATAAGAGCAGTGGTAGCACGCTATGTAGATAGGCACATTTTTTTGGTCTAAACTGGATCCAGAGTAGAGGTCTGTCCTATATTCTGCCATAGTGGGGTGGATACTTGCTTATTGCACATTTTGTGTCAGCTTCAGAAACTGGGCTTGTAGAAATTGAATCAGTGTCACAGGCTGAGCCATAAGGCGTTGTCGTAGTACACATTTCATTTGCTTGGATGGTTCAATAATGTTCATGGAGCTTTTGAGGATCAGCTCATCCATGCTTTTTATATATTTGTATATATTTCCCTGACACACTCATTAGGCTGCGCCAAACATAGTGTACTGAACATATTTCCTGGAGCAGAATACCTTTGAACCCTTTGTATGAAGGATTCTTTCCTAAAAGAGAGGGTGCATTTCCTCCCCCCCACTCCTAAAATTTTCTGAAATGACCCCATTGTTTTCAGGGTTATGGGTCACTCAGCCAAGTGCCAATCTAGGGGGGAAAGAGTTTTTCCCCCTGAATGTAATACTTAGGTTGCTTTCATGTTGAGGAGCTCCCTCCCTCCCTACTCCTTGGGGGCCCAAGCAACATTATAAAACAACAGTAAACACTAAACACAATCCACAGGAGCTTTTCAGTTCAGTCTGGTGGCCCTAGAGCTCATAGCTTCCAGTTTAGCAGACTCTGTAGCAAGGCTGAAGTTTAGTATGTTTAATGCTTAGCAAGTCAGAAGGACTAGTTTAAATTTAATATTCCAATGCAAATTCAAACATCTTCAGAAGTGTATAGATGTGGTCATATATATTGGGTGCCAGTGCAGTATTGCACATCTTCATGTTACTGCCATGTCAATGGCAGATTAATCAGCCCAGTTGTTTAGGGTCCGAGCGTTAAGCAAAGCATTGAGTTTGAATTGACTAGCTGCCTAAATACACCAAACCATCAGGTTACAAATTAGAATCAAATGCATAGTTTTTGTCGTGGTTAGAACTAAATGCACTCCTGCTGCATTTAACACAGAGACAAGAGAACGGTACAAACTCATTTTATTCAAGTGACCTGGATGATCCGAAATGTGGATAACTGCTGAATATACCTCATACTTCATGAGGGTTGGGTGCATTAGTTAAAAGAGTTTGAGGGAAACATTGGTGGTGCTATACCATGTTGCATACAAATGGCAATAAATATTCTTTTAAAAGCAAGGAGTTTGAGATAATGAGAACAGGGAATTTTTTAATTTTTTTTACTGTTCCACAAAGTTCTGTATATGGGTAATGGGCTATAGCCAAATAAGTTCTTCTCAGAGTAGATAAAGTTAATGAACCAAAGTTAGTTACATATGTTAGCTTTAATGGGTCTACTGAGTAGAACTAGCATGGGAGGTTGAGTCAAAATAGACACCGTGAGTAAAACATCTGGGCAATCAGTGCTTTTTTTCAGGGGGTGCTTAGTACTGGCATCTCTTTTTGTTGTTAAAAAGTGTGACACTTACTGTAACAACTTCACAGTGAGTACCGGCACCTATTTTTCTAGAAAAAAGCACTGCGTGCAAGAATGTGTGGGCAAAGGCTTCACATGGAAAGGTGCAAACCTTCTCTCCCTGCTCCCCACCTTCCCTTTCTGTGCTCTTCTGTTTTAAGACACTTTCTCCCAGTTCTGGCTCAGGTGACGGAAGTGAAACAGCCTAGAAGACAGTTGCTTAAAGTAGTGGAACACAGCAAGTTACGGGTTTGGGTGATGTTCAGTCCATTCTCCTGCTCCTCTCTTGCTTTACAGTTGTATCTCAGCTCCCAAGTGATCGAAACCTGGAAGTGAGTGTTCTGGTTTTCAAATGTTCTATTAGAAGCCGAATGTCAGACGGGGCTTCCGCTGATTCCGATTGGCTGCAGGAGCTTCGGTTTTTGAACGTTTTGGAAATCGAACAGACTTCCAGAACAGATTCTGTTTGATTTCTGAGATACGACTGTATATACATGGATAACAACATGACATTTCACATGCAGTTTTTCCACACTGTTCATACAGCCCAGAGCTCCAGGTGCATTTTTGATGCACACATTAGGCTCTTGCACAGTTGGAATTTTCCATTTAGTTCTCTGGCGCAGAAGAGTGAGAGGCCAAGCAGGTGGGCAAGGAACTACTAGACTGGTGCACTAATGCACATACATCCCCCCCCCCAATTTTTGAGCTATGGGACCGAACACCTTCAGGCATCATAATATCCCAGGTTAGCTACCAAATACATTTGATAGAGTAATGTACCACCCATTAGCATTAGGTCCAGGTTTACATTTTCAAAATAGAGAATTTAAATTCAAGAAAACAAATTGGGGTGGGGGTGGAACATAGAAAGGGTTCCCCCCCCCCTGCTCTGTGTGTGTGTGTCATTTATTTCATTTAAAATCTTGTTTCTTAAAAATTAAATTATACTGCACGTGAACCATTGAAAGAACAGATTGTTCAACATATTCTCTCCCCCCCCCTTTAATTAGTCAGCAGCTAGGAGAGCAGGAACTTGTTGTGCCAACTGCCAAACAACCACCACCACCTTATGGCGACGTAATGCGAATGGGGACCCAGTGTGCAATGCCTGTGGACTGTACTATAAATTGCACAATGTGAGTATTTGCCTGACATGTGTCACCCTTTTGCTTGCTTAGCTGCGATTGATGCCTCAACTGCATGGCGTCCACCAGCCCCTGTGTATTCACTGCAGGGAGTCTTTTTATTTTTTTATTTAAAGAGAAAAGCTTTTTAGGGTCCCCCTGGGAAGTCACGGCCATTCTCTGTTGGCATAGTGATGTGGAATTCAGTGACATTACGATGTATTAGCTTGGCTTCTAAAGCACACGGGCGATTTAAGCAAAATAGGGTTAGAACTTTTGGTTAGAACCCAAACACTGCATGGTTCTCTGCCTTTCCCAGAAATTCAGAGGACATTTCAAATGGATTCATGTAAAGTTTAATTCAATCGGGGTATCTTTATATAAGTTTGGCACTGCATGAAAGAAATTGTAGAATGCTCTGATCGGTTCCAAATATTATATATCTCAACATAGAAATAGTGCAAACTTTCTTCTTTTTAAAAATTGAAACACTCCAGCTTTAGAATCTGGTGCTCTGTGTGTGCCTCCCCCCTCCCTCTCTCTTTTTTTAAAAAGGAAATCTTTTTTCTTTCTTTTTTAAATTAGGAAATGAATGAAGGTTAAGGGCTAAGGCTAAGGAAAGGAGGGGTGGAAACTGCCAGTATTTGGTCCAACTTGCTTTTTCATGTCTGAAGTTTTCCAGTGTGGTTTCATTAAACAAATCAAATTTTATAAACAAAATCTGCGGGGAGGAAGGAGGAGATGTAGGCTTTTCGTTTTGTTTTTTGGCCTGAAAATGATTTCTGTCCGGGAAACTCTCAGGGGCTGTTTAAATATTTTTATTTTTGTACACAAGAAGGTCATTTTGCTTGCATGAGCCTGATTTTCTCATTTCTTGCAGGTGAACAGGCCTTTGACTATGAAGAAGGAAGGAATTCAGACCAGAAATAGGAAAATGTCTAACAAGTCGAAGAAGAGCAAGAAAGGCTCTGAATGCTTTGAGGAACTTTCCAAGTGCATGCAGGAGAAATCTTCTCCATTCAGTGCTGCTGCCCTTGCCAGTCACATGACACCGATGGGGCATTTGCCACCTTTCAGCCACTCTGGACATATCCTGCCAACGCCTACCCCCATTCACCCATCTTCCAGCATCTCATTTGGACATCCACATCCATCCAGCATGGTCACAGCCATGGGATAGAATCTGAAGATCCTAACAGAGAACTTGAAAACACTGGGCTTTGCCTATAAGACGACAGCAAGGAAAAAAATCTGCCCAGAGGAGAGAATGTAGGGAAGGAAGAGGAACGAAAGGGGATCTCATTCCAGTGTGGTTCGACTCCTAGCGCTAGACTAAAACTTTGCAGTGATGGGTCTTCTGCAGAAATGCTTAATGGTGCCTGTTATGCACTTTGCCCCCTCAGGTAAATGGAGAAAGAGGAACTCACCTGTCTGAAATGATACCTTCTGGTCCCAGCAGAAAGAAAAGGTGGCTGAAGCAGTCGAAGAAGCTGGAGCCAGCTTTCCTTTCTCTTTGTTAATTACTGTGAATATTGTAAAGAGATTAGCAGCCTCCCAAGGCAAGAGGAAGCTCAGTGGTAGCCGCCCATGCTGGATTTCTATCACAGACTTTGTGTTCAGGGGAGGAAAAATGGACAACTTTATAAAAAAAAATCTACTTTTTAAGAAAAGAAATCAGATACAGGAAAAAAAAATCATTATTTATTTTGCTCTTGTGTTCCAGAAAGAGCTTCAAAACTCTTGCATGTTCTTGTGGATCTTATTTTATTTTTTTATTTTGTTTAAAGAAACGTCCACCCAGGTAAAGTTTTTTTTTAAAAAAATCTTCTTCTTATTGCTTTAATGGCCACTCTTGATTCTCTTCATCGCTGTTAGACTTTTAAAAAATCTACTAGGAAGGGGCTGTGTATGTGAAAGAGGGAGACATTTGGCGCTGACCTAGGTTCCAACAGCCTCAAGGTGCAGATTATTTTGACATAATTTCTGTATTCATTTTTGTCAATGTGAAGGTCTTTTGTTTAAAAGCGTGGCATCCTACAAGAAGACCAAGATACACTGGACAAATGGCTAAAAGGTTTTTCCATACCGAACAGTTCTGCATTGGCCGGAGGGCTAAAATGCACAAAATCGGCATTTCTTCCCCATCATACCTCTCTGAGCATCTAGTTGGTTGTAGAAAGTGATAACAGGTATACTCGCATCCCAGGCTGCCCTTCTCTCTTGCTCCTTCCCAACAGCAGGTCTGAACTGCACCTCCTCCAGTCAGGGATTGTGTTGTTTTAGATAGAGCACACCAGTCCACTAAGTTCCATGATTTGCTCCATCCGCCTAGCTTGGGGGTTGCCAACTTTTTTGGGAGCCCATGGGCACATTCAGAAAATGGACACAACACATACACACCACAGCCAAGCATACATTGCAATCCATTCTATTGACCGCAATAGAATGCTTCTTTCGTTGTCTGACATCAGCGGCAGGAGGGGACCCCCTGGGAACCAAGGGAGACTTCTGTGGGCACATCTGTGCCTGCAGGCACCGCGTTGGCAATCTGCGATCTAACTCCACAACCTCTGTGCTCTATCCGCTCTCAACCTCCCGGTCGGTGCAGGACTACCGCACTGTTTCTATCACTCCTGTTATCTGTGCCTTCTTTCCCTGTTCCCCCGTCTGTACAAAGACGTGCCCTTCGCACCAAAAAGCCCTACTAACTCCTGGCACTAGGAGCCCCCAGAACCTAAAAACGTCCCTCATCGAGGCACCACCTTTATGCGTTGCTCTTGTTCAGTCTCCAGTTGCTCTGATGGTTTTTGTGTAGAGTTCTTGTTTCATATGAACCTAGGAAGCTGCCTTATACCAAGTCAGATGATTGGTCGATCTAGCTCAGTATTACCTACAGAGACCGATGGCAACAACTCTGCCATCTTTCCCAGCCCCACCTTGAGGATGGGAGGGGGGGCTGCCCTGTTTGTGCTGCAGCACAGACAGTTTGGTATAGTGAGCCGCCCTAACACTGATTCAGACCCTCCTTGTATCAGTCTGCTGAGATTGGAGGTATGGCAGGTGGTCTCCCAGGTCTTGGGCAAGAGTGTTTCTTTTCTGAGATGGTGATGCCAGATGCTGAACCTTTGACACTCATAAAACCCTGGAGCTGTAGCCCTTGCTTTAGTGGTCTGTGCCCCTGGATCTAACACGCAACCCTTAATTTAGGGCAAGGGAAAGAAAACCTTATTGAGGATCTGCCATGATGCTTTTGTTTTGTCTGTTTGATTAGCAGACCTTGCCCGAGATACTAAGAAATGTTACGGTAGCTAATTCCCTACTAGATGTTTTAAATAATGTGTCCAGAGCTGGAGTTTGCCATCTGTAGGTATGCATGTCACACAGCAGCTTTCTTAGCTGTGAAACTGGTGAAGGGTGGTAAATAGGTGAAGGTCTATAAGGGAGAGTGGTGGAAGAGAGATTCGTCCAGTAGTTCAGACATAGCAACAGCTACTGAGTGATGGGAAAGTGATCTGCTACTGGGGAGCATAGACGGGTATACTGGCCGTTTCCTATAGCACACATATGTTTGTTTGTTTTTTGTAAGGAAAATCACAAATGTTGAGAAACAGAAAAAAAAGTTATATCCCATTCTGAAACCATATTGTACGTAAACAACCGAAAAATAAAGCTCTTGCCAGTGTGAAGTGTATTCTCCTAATTGTTATGATCTGATGACTTTCATGATCACAAGGTCCAGTATAACATATGATGTACATATTTAGCTATATTTCTGATGAGAAAAAAGCCCCCGTGAGCAAAGGGGTTTGATAATGTAAACCGCATAAGCTTAATTCTGTGACGAGCTTTTTCTTGTTTGTTTTTTTAATGGTTTTTTTTTTAATCAAGCCAATTGTATCTTAACTGCAAAAGTCTGCTTAAAACAAAAAACAAAGGTGTACGTTGGTTTTGGTTTCTCTTTCCTGCCCCCCCCCCAATATATAATTCAGCTGTTTTATAAAGAACGAAGGACCAAGCAGCCAAAGTGAAAAGTTGCTTTCCTCCCTTTTCTGGTTGGTGTGGGCATATATAGCTGCACTTTGTGAAGAAATAGAAATAATCGCCAAAACAAATGGAAGAGAAATTCTGTCTGGGAGAAATGGCATCTTCAATTGACAAACTGGGAAATTAAACTACCTTTTATATTTAAGGGAGGCGGGGGGCTTTTAAAAAAAATATGGTACAGTTATACACGATTTGTAACTCAATTCAAATTCTTTAGGGATGGGAGTGGCTGGGTGAGAGCATGAGAGGCTTCATGACATTGGGGGAGAATAGCCGCCCAGTGCTGCTTCTGCTGCTCCACAGTCTTCCTTTGTCTCTGTGGGGTGAGCCCTCGACAAGCCCCGCTTTGGTGAATGGAGATTGTGCAGCAGGAGCGCTTGCTGGGCAGGGTCCACACAGTCGACAAAGTGCAATATATTGTCAGTCACTGCAGCGTATAAGAACCGCAGTCAGGATTTAAATTATTTTGTACTTGTATCAGCATAAAGATTTGGCAGTATTTTCTGTTTTGTTTTTTTATTTTGGCTTAATTTTTGGTTTAGTGAACTAAGTTATTGTTAATTATGTACAACATGTTTATATATTGTCTGTAAAAAAAAAAGTGTATGCTTCCCTCATATTCCTTCAAGGTGAATACTGCTAAGAATAATAATAAAAAATACCCCCTTTTTTGTGAAAGCAAGTTTTTGCTCTCTCTCTGCTTTAGGTCTCTTTGACTTTTTCAGATCTGGGACCCACTTTGAACCCAAATGTGCATTTGAGGACTTGCTTCTTAATCTTTTACTGTATATTTGCATGCTGGTAGTGCCATTGTTGGGATGCACTTTGGATCAGGCTGTGACGCTAGGGGGTCCTGACACACACCAGTTGAAGAGCACTGGTCTCTAGATGATGTTGCTTCATAGGGCAGTGTGGTGAAAGGATGATACCCAAGCTATGAGTTTCTGGTTTGCGACAATATTGGAAGAGAAGCCATGGGAATTTTACTCCTGCAGCAAGCATTAGGCACAAAAGCATATCTCCTGAGCACACAAGCTGCCCTGGAATTTCCCCGCACAGACATAAGTTCCTTATGTTATAAGCAGATATTCCAAAGAGTCTTTGAGCTTGGGGAGTAGCTTTTTGAATGCACAGGCTGCTGCTGCAATTTGGACCTGATGGGTCAGAAGATCCACTTCCCATTCAATGTTATCAGTGCTTTTTTTTCTGATGGTATTCAAAGGTATGAAGACAGTGCAGCTTGGTTTGGAAGAGGGAGGTGTTAGAAAGAATTGCCATAGCAGTTAACTTGAGAATTTAGATTTAAGGCCATTTTCATTTGTAATGCCAAAAAGTGCCCTTGAGCTTCTCTATTTTTGTCAGAAGTGAAGGATGGAAATGCAAGAGAGAAGATGAAGGGCAGTCAGTTTTAAATTTGATAACATTCCACCCAATGTAGGTTTCACAATACAGACGTAACAGTTTAAGTTTCCTGTGTGAAAACTCACTTTGTTTACACGTACTCACTCCAGTTTTTGGGCACTGAGCAATAAGCTGGGTCAGAATTCAACACGCAATGTCTGTAGCTCTACCAACAATGCCAGATTTTATATTGTAACACATTTTAATACAGATCTTTTCACTGTTAATAAGTTTTAGCAACTATTAAATGAGGGCAGAAATAAATCCCCGTTGCAGTAACATTCATCTGGCACAGTGTCTGATAGCTAGACCTGATTTGGTGGGCTTCATTACATTGGTTTCAGTAGCACTTAAAAGCATGCCTAACTTTCTCTGGATTGTGTCTATAGGGTGATATGCAATGAAATGGAGGTGAGCCTGGGGCTTAGAATGCATACCTATAGTTTGGTTATAGGATGGAGCATCAATTCTCCCCCAACCTCCAGTTGCCCACATCACTGTTGCATACTGGGATGATGAGGGCAAAGCCAATTCAGCATTCCCACTCTTGCATTTGCACTGTGCTGCCCTCGCTGCTGCCATTTCCCTCTCCATCCCAGAATGCAGCAGTGATGCAGTTGAGCGGAGGTCTGGTTAGGACCCACAACACCACCATCTGCTACTGCTGTTGTGTTAGCAAAACATACTTCCTCTTGTGCTTCTGCTTGTGCAACAGGATGTCAGAACTGACTGGGTCACCCACCCAGACTGTGACCATTAGACCTTTCTGGGCAGGAAGGAGTAAAAAGGGCTTCTTTTTCCAGATAAGCCATACTTGAGCAACAAGGTCTCTTTGGACACTGTTCTGCCGCCGCCTTTGGTCTGTGCTCCTGCTCTAGTCCTGCCATGCTCCCTGGTCCTGTCTCCTAGCTTATTCCTTCAGCCTGATGCCTGGTTTGTCCTTCAGTCTTGCCATACCCAATGGTTCTCATCTTTGGCCTGTCTCCCCAGCTTTTGGCTCACTTCAGACTGTTGCCCACAGCATAGCCCTAACACTCTGGAACATGTTAAGTAATAGCTGGGTGCCTCTGCAGAATATCTTTTCCTCACCACTGAATAACCGCAAGTAGTTACCACATCTAGAAATAGGAATAAGGCAGATCCCCATCTCGAAGGGAATCTCTTCTGGTCCAGCTTGAGTCCTGGTAACATCCACAAGACACAAAATGTCCCACAGCTACACTAGAGGCATTTGATTGTTACAACCACTACATAAAAGAAAACTATATTGTTTACATGGTTTTATTATCTGTAAAAAAAATAAAAATCAAGCTGAATATTATGTGTGTCTGCAGATACTGTTGTACAGCATCTGAAAAATCAACCAGAATAACACTTGGGGCAATGTCTGTCCTTAATTGCAATGATAAAGCACAGAGGATATCTCAAACAGTATTATTTATTTAAAGCAGGTGCGGGGACCTTCTTAAGCCTGAGGGTCACACTCCCTTCTGAGTGACCTTCCAGGGGCCACATGCCATTGGTGGGCAGAGCTGGGCCAAAAGTGGGCAAAGTAACAAAAGTGAATTTTATTTTGTGTACAGTAGGTTTGTTTCTTCACACTCAAACTTTCTATTCTTTATCCAGGCAAGCAAGAAGCATTATCGGAGTTCACGTACACATTCTGGGAAGGCAAAAGCAGTTGAGGAAGGTGCAAATCAGGGCTGCTAAGGCTCTGGAGAAATTGTGGCCAGGGAAGACTCCTAAAAGCCAGCGAAGCAGGCCTGGAAGATCACATTTGGGTGCTGGGCCTAAGGTTCCCCATTCCTGATTTAAAGCCTGCATGCAGCTTTGTTTAAACGAACATGCTGATTTTCTCAGTACAGTGGTACCTCGGGTTACATACGCTTCAGGTTACAGACTCCACTAACCCAGAAATAGTACCTCGGGTTAAGAACTTTGCTTCAGGATGAGAACAGAAATTGTGCTCCGGCAGCGCAGTGGCAGCAGGAGGCCCCATTAGCTAAAGTGGTGCTTCAGGTTAAGAATAATTTCAGGTTAAGAATGGACCTCCGGTACGAATTAAGTACTTAACCCGAGGTACCACTGTACAAAGAAGAACAGCTGCCTTTTCTTTTATTGGTAACATAAGTAGCAGTGGATGGGCGACCAGTCAAGAGGTAATAAAAAGTCTGGAGGAAGAGGTGATACAGATTTCAATCAAGCATCTCAAGATTGCAGTAGAGCATGCCTGGTGGATTTCTTTAGAGAAGGCATTCCGCAACACTCATCCCACCACTGGACATGCTCTCCTCTTAGTAGGGGACAACTTCACTGCCAGCAGTGGTGAGTCTTGAAATACAGTAGTGACTCTTCATCACCCTAATCCAA